CTCTTGTATTGTATTGTTCATCTAATATCAATAACATATTTTCTCCCGTGCCTTCTCACAGTTTGAACCTTGAATGAAACATGTCATAATTTCTCGCTGTTCTTGGGTTTTCCAAATTATTTGCAATTCAAAATCTTCTAAAGCGAGATGCCTTGATTGTATGTGCTAATTGTTCAGTGACTTTATTCCTTACAGCATAAAGCTCCTTGCATTGAGGAACTTGAGGATAAGATGCAGAAGCTTCACAAAGAACGAGCAGCAGCCATCTTAGAAAGGAGAGCTGCCGATAGTGATGATGACATGAAGGAACTAGTAGCTGCTATAAGTGCTGCAAATCAAGTTCTAAGTAAAGGAGGTGGTGATGCAGAAACAATAAAAGCTGTGGCAGCTGCTGCTCTGGCTCTAAGAGCAGCTGTGAGGGAAGGAGGGGATTTTCCAGTCGAGCTAGATGAATTCAGTAGAGATGGGAATATGCAGAATCAGATGGATGTGAGCAGAAGGGCAAACGCCCGAGAACGCAGGAGAGCAAGAAATGATGTTATGAGAATGCCAGCTATAGGATCCTATCCGCCAATAGAAGGAGAATTAGACACTGATGAAAGTGACACCGAGAGCAATGCGTATCGGTCTCAGCATGATCAATTGCTTCACTCTACTAAACAGATTTTTGGTGATAAACATGAATACTCTGAATTTTCCGTAGTTGTGAGAAAGTTTTATAGATGGAAGAAAGATTATACTTCAAGCTATCGTGATGCACATGTGTCCGTTTGTATACCTGCTATTTTCTCACCCTATGTGAGGCTGGAGCTTCTGAAGTGGGATCCTCTACATGAAAATGCAAATTTCATGAATGTGAAATGGTAAGTGCATTTCCTCTCAAATTTTGTAAATACTAGACTCAGGGGTTGTGAGAGGAAACTTTTCCTTGTCCGACTGGGAGACTTCCTTTTTGGGACCTAGAAGTTCGTAGCACTATAATTGATATGTATGAAATATTCAAATACGAAAAGATGTCGTTGAGACATATATTCACTTCTATACAAATTTTTCATGTCTCTCACACCATCTTGGTAAGGAACTTTTGACTTGTAAAAAGATTCTAATATGTAAAATATACATATATACATGCTCTTTTAAGATTTAACTTTGAACTATATTTTGTGTCATTCCAGGTATACTTTGCTTCGTAAGTATGGACTCTCTACAGATGAAAATCCAAATAGCTTTGATGACGCTGATGCCAATCCTGTTCAATTGGTGGTGAAACTTGCAATGGCCATTCTACATAACCGGTTAGCTCAGTGCTGGGATGTGTTTAGCACCCGTGAGACACAGTGTGCTGTATCTGCCATAAATCTGTTGTTAAGAAGACGTCTTCCGTCCACTGACCCTTCATACACTGATCTAGTTAACACGGTTCATGAGCGTCTAGATAAGGCTGTTGCTAATTTGACGGTCTCTTTCTTAGATCATTACAAACGTCTGGAAATCTTTACTTCATTTAGTTTCAGACAAATGGTCTGAAACTAAGTATTGGTCTTTGCAGGTCCTTGTGTTGGACTCACTTGTAACGGAAGCTGTACCTGATGCAGCACGAGTCGCTGCATATAGGTTTGGAATGTCTCTTCGCTTGATGTCTAATATATGCTTGTTCCATAACGGTGGGATTCTTGCCATGGCTGTCATAGAAGAACTTGCTCTTGATAAACTCTTATGTGGGAAGATTCTTCCTTATCTTCGAGGCATCCAAGCAAACATTCACGATGCTATTATGAGAACTGAGAAAGTTGTTTCATTAACTGGTATTTTCGCAGGGGATCACAGGTATTGTTTATTTAAGTAGGTCATTGTTAACCCTTTTGTTTTCTTTACCTACAGATTGTCTTTAGTAATGGTATATGATGCTTTCAAGGTTGCTACATATATGAACAGCTGTCTACTTTAATTTATTATTAGCAAGTTCTATATCTTTCCAAGAGGGCTTCTCTTATGAACACGTGATATGTTCATAAGTTCATTAGACTATTTATTTGAGAATGAGAATGTATGTTTAGACTCTTTGCTGTACATATTTAGAATCTCCTTTAGTGCAAAAGTGTGTTCTATTAAAAAACTTCTGTTGTTTGACTTGTTGTACGTATGGATATTGTTTTCGTGGTCCCTTTTTGTAGTCGAAAGTTACAGCCTCTGGTGGATTACGTGCTAGAACTCGAAAAAGGGCTTAAGGAAAAGCATTGTTCGTTTGGTCAAGAGATTTGGACTCATTTCGACGGTTTTTCTGCTGATAAGAGCGGTAAAGAGTTAGTTACTGCAAAATCTCTTCCTTATTTGCACAAGATGCTACGAGCTCTCAAGGAAGATGATCATGCTAAGGAAATGAGCAGACCATATTTTGAGACAGATGATCCGTTTTGATACCCTTTTTTCTTGGTGGTGTCAAAATGACCCTTTGCTTTATTTCTTTGGGCGTTTTATCAGTTTATACCTAGTTAAAATCTTTTGCACAGTGTTAATATCCTACATAATTGAGGCAGTGAAGGAGTCCTGTGTGCTGTACAGGGGAGAGTTGTAACCACTCGTATATCAGCTAGTCATTAACAATTTTTTCTGTGTCGTGAGCATTTGTCATTTGACCAATTGGCTGGTCCTGGTCATATATAACGGAGTGGCTTATATTTGAATGTTTGAATTTGGTTGGATTGACATCTTTTTGTTTGGGCTTAAAAACTATTGGTATTTAATGTCTGAGTAATCTATAGAAAATGGAAAAGAAGGTGCTAGCAAAGATTAAGGACCCGTTTGGCCATAGATTTTGCCACATTTTGGCCAAATTCCAAATCCCAATAGCTGGTTTTGGGCCAAAATATCACTATTATATTTTTTAAAAATTGCCCGAAACTTTATATTTTATAAAAGAGCCCACCATTTATTATTTTGTAACGATGTTGCTTCGTCTTCTCGGTCATCTGATAGTGTATCATGTAGTTTCAAGAGGTTGTGAGTTCGAGTCATCCCAAGAGCAAGGTGGGGAGTTCTTGGAGGGAAGGAGCCGAGGGTCTATCGGAAACAGCCTCTCTACCCCAGGGTAGGGGTAAGGTCTGCGTACACACTATCCTCCCCAGACCCTACTAGTGGGATTATACTGGGTTGTTGTAGTTTATTATAAAAATAATAATTTTGTATCAAATTTATTTATGTTCAGGACTATGGTTTGCGATAATATAATGAATGTTATTGATAATGGTACTGTTAGGTATTTGTGATAGTTTTTAGAATTTGTGAGTATAAGTCATGTTTCATGTTTTTCCAAATTAAACTTCACCCAAAACAGATGTCCAAACACATTTTCATCTTCAAACCAAACTTCACCAAAATCAGATTTTTCAGAATAAATTTGAGAATTTATGGCCAGTTGTGTTTAGTTTTGACATGTGATGATTACACTTGTACCAGGAACTCTTTAGTTTGTGACAACTGGTGGTGAGAAATGCAACGGCTACTACAAATTCCAAGCTAGTCAGGTGGGGCCGGTTAGTTCGTGACAGTGGGTATTAGCATTTCAGAAAAAGATTTGGCGTGTACAAGTCCTTTGTATGCTATTATTAATAAGGTCATTTTGAGATGGCCGCTGGTAATTCGTTAATTTGCCTAACATCGAGTTTGAAATAGATGAGCAGTTCTCCTAACGATGTCATCGGTTATATTTATTTTTTCTATTTTTACTTTGACACCACCCGTTAAAGTTTATTATTGACTTTATCTAGGATATATTGGTAATCTAAACTTTCTGCGTTTTACATTGTGAGGCAATCGTAAAGCACCTTGGGGCAACATGTGGGGCTCCTGTCTCATCATTTGACTGTTACGAAGGTTATCACTTCTGTTCAATATATAATGATGGAAGTCAGCTATGGCTGATTAATCCTATATGGTTATTGATCAAAGTATCAATAAGTTATACCCATACAAAGAATTAGAGATAGAACAAAACATCCAAAATCCTCTATATCCATTATGCATTATTAATAATTTTGTACTGAGATGCTTCATATAATTGAACTATTCTGCATTGACCACCGTAGCCCACCTCCTTTCTCTTGTTGTTCTTTTCCCCATATTACTTTGTTGGCTGAGAAAATACAAAATACCTTTATGTGTTCTGTAATTTTCCAAATTAAACGAACAACACTCGCACACAGTTTTGAACACCTTGCATTTTAACTCTTGAGATGTGATTGGGATAGTTAAGTAGAAGCAAAGTTTGCAAGCTTAAAAAGACTAATAGAGGTTGGACATTTTTTTTTGATAAGATAAGATTTTGTTAATACGCAGTTTCAAGAAAATACTGCAGAAAAGAAAAAGAAAACAGAGCTAGACTTGGTACATCAGATCTCTATAAATTCTAACAAGTCTAGCACATCATGGACTAAAAACACAGTTCCCATTCTCCCAATAGTTCAAATTTTGAAGGCATCTAAATTTCAGAACTTGAAGTGCTCCTTTAGGCCATTAAAACATCTCCTATTTCTCTCCCTCCAAATTGTCCATGCAATGCACACTGGAATAGTAATCCAGATCTTTTTCTTGCACTTCCCAACGTAGATTGATTTCCAACACCCTAACAAACCTCTGAAGTTCTCAGGCATAAAACCTTGAACACCAAAAATAGCCACAAACATGGTTCAAAGAAGAACAACAGATTCGCATTGCCAGAAGCTCTCACATAGATAGTATCTGCTACACATATTAGAGCCTCTCGTCCTCAAATTATCTTGAGTCAATCATGCTTCATGAGCCACCATCCAACCAAAGCAGGCCACTTTAGTTGGTGCAACTGTCTTCCAAATCTCCAAGGTCAATTAGTTCCCAGCTTTGAATCAATTTTTATGAGTTCTCTGTGGTAAGACTTCACAGTGAGCACTCCATTCATAGTAACATTCCACCATAATGCATCTTCCTTCCCCTGATTAATCTCTAGTAAATGCAATTTATGCAAGAATAAGTCCGCTTCTTGCATTTCCCATTCAAAGAAATTTCTTCTAAACTGACAGTTCAAGCAAGTATCATTAAACATTTCAGCAATTAGAACATAAGTCCATAGCCTGACTCTTTGCCCATATCCAATCCTAATGCTGATATTCTTGCTAAACTTCCCCCAAAGACGAGAGATCTGTTTCCATACAGCTAGTCCATAAGGTGTTTTCACAGTCTTGGGAGCCCAAAACCCCTCTTCCATATTTGATCTCAACCGGTCTTCCAGGTAGCTATCTTCTCATCATTGAATCTACATAGCCATTTCTGTAATCTCACTTCTCTCTTCTCTGCATGGAATACTCTCTAGGTTTAACTATTACAAAAACCACAAAGGTATTGCCAAAATATAAATTTTAAAATTTTCCACGAAACTATTGTTAAATTATAAATTTGATAACTTTTCATACACATTTCACAAATAATGACATGCTTTAGTAGCGTTCATGAATTATTTTTCACTTCTAGCTTGTTCATAAGCGACATAAGAAATGTTCAAGTCTGAAGAAATTGGTTTTGCTGAACTGTGAAATTACCAGGTACTGTACATCCGAAAAGGAAAAAGGAGAATTAGGGTAAAGTGACAATACTGTTTGCAAAGGAACCATATTTTCCTCCAAGCCTATCATTTTAGTTACATCATATAATCCTTCGACTCAGTAAGTCCCTATTTTAATTATCCTTCCTAGACAAGAGAAGGCTAAAGGTTATCAGTTTCACCACACCCTTAAGACTTAAGAGGCCTCTAAGAAAGGTACGAATTTACGTCTTGGAATAATGAATACCAACACAAGAATGGAGGATCTAATAAGACTTAGTACCTGACGTGGCAGGGGTTGTAAGAAGGTGAAATTAACTTTCACTTGAATGGCAAGCTTGATACCATCAGAGTCAATGGCAACCTTCCCTGCTTGCTTGAGTAGATTTGAGCATCCGTCAGTAAATCAATAACATATTGATGCCTCAGTTCTAGAACTGATGCACAACTCGAGGCTCGTAGTCACCAACTCCCATTGATTTTAGCAATGTTTGGACAATCTTTGCATCCCTTGGCAAGTCCTCTTCTCCACCTTTAGCCATTTCTTTCAAGGTTCAACCTTACACAGCCAAAATTCACCTTCAGATTCGTTTTCTACACATCAGTAGTGCCTATTTAGTGCCAAGTCCAACAAAGAATTGCAGAAACTAGATCTCTCTACTGCAGATTCAGGAATCTAGTTCACAAATGGCCCCAATTATGCTACTAATCATCAAATACCAAAAAGCTTGATCACAAATGAGAAGAAGAGCAATATCACTTATTTTAGTTGTTAGTATTCTTTGAAAAGAACCCAACACCTGTAATAAAATCCAGCAAACAATTATTTTTTGTAAGTAAGAATATTTATACAGCACCCAGACCAGTTTTGAATTGAGGCGTTGTTGTTGTAAGAATATTTCATACACACAAGCCAAAGTAAGCGCTTAAGAGGACAAATTCTTAAGCCATCCTCAAGCCATTTACATCTTTTTGCTTATACTGAGAGACCAAATGCATAGAAAAATATGCTTCATACTATTCATGCATATTCCTTCAAATATCTTCTACTGCACTCTTGCCATAGACCATAGTTTGCTATATAGAGAGAATCGATGCAGCTGACCACAACTAGTTTGATTGAGGCGAAGTGAAAGAATGAGAAATTGAACACCATATACTTTTCCACATTAGTTGCAATAATATTTCACTCTATAATTAAATATACATAAAATAGAGTTCGAGGCGTAGAAAATGATCACGATTCACCGTGCCACAATTCTCTGCGCCGCAGCGAAATAGAGTTTGAGGCAGAGAAATCTGAGGACAACACATATTACAGAGGCAAGAGATGAAAAAGTAGAAAGGGAAAAAGGGTGAGTATAGGGGGGATAATGGGGGAGATACCAAGAGGGATAAATGGCATGAGGAAACCAGATAAAGATGAGATACGATAGACTATTAGATTGAAAAAGGCCTTGAAGTGGGTCAAATGATTGTATCTAATTGGGTCTTCACAGAGTCACAAATGATATCTTTAAAACAAGCATTTTATTATTAAGATAGCAAAATAACAGGAAAAAATAAATAAATTATCTAGCAGTTATGGTTAAGCTAGCACCTTCCAAGTACACTACAAAAGTATCTCCTCCTTGTTATCAGAAAACTGAAAAATAATAGTACAAATAAATATTCTAAAAAAATATCAGAATGAAAGCTAAAGCAAAAAGAATTCGTCAAACAGACAAGCCATTCTAAATATAAGAAACAAAGCGATCCAGCCAATATTTAGAGGTACAAAGTAAGAACGCCATAAACAGGACAAGAATAAAAATAAAATATAAATATAAAATGACACCCAAATTCCTTTTTACATGTACTTGATTCTATTGAGCACAAACAAATACTCAAACATAGCTTAATACCCAAAAGTGCGTTAAATGGAATAAATTAGATCGCCTTTATCCACTTCAAGAGGCGTGGTAATGGAACCCTTAATCTTTTGTATTTTATGAAATGCAGGAACACTGTGTTGTTGGACTCTCTCTCTCTCTCTCTCACACACACACTCTCTACCTTGAATTTCAGATATAAAAGTATAAAACCATTGAGGGAGAGAGCCAGGGAATGAAAATCAGAGACAAGAATTATTATT